GCCTATTTTTAGTAAAAATAAATTAGCTTTTAAGAGGGAAGCTATACTTGCCCAACAATGCCTCATATACAATGTTTCTGCTGAAAGAGATAAACTACACTTGCCCAAGAAATTAGCTTTTAATATTTCTGCAAATGCTTCATCCGCCAATGGGGTCTTAGCCCAATGGTAGAGATGTCAGCACACAGGTTAGTGGTCTGCGGTTCGATCGCCCATGCATGTGTGTGTGAGGATACCCCCTCCCCCTTCCTAACTATGACAAGAAAAAATGCTTACTTTATACATGTACTGCTGTTATTTTGTTAGAAGCTTCTGGAATGAGCCTCAGCATCCAAAAACCCATCCTTATCACATGCAAAAAACCATTAAAGATGACTTATAGGTACCATACAACTAGTATCAACAAACTCGCTATATGGTGCCTTTTTACCATTCAGAACAGAAACTGATAGATAATAACAAAACATGTGATATTTGTTTACAGAGAAATGAAGCCTCAGTTGTTGGTGCTCTTAATTATATTCATCTTTTTAAAATTCACACCAGGAAAGAATTGAGAAAGATAATGATCAGTTTGAAAGCCAGTAGAAACACCACCATAGACGAGGCAGGTGGTTGTATTTCTTTATGAGGTCGTTGCCAAAGAGGAAATTGATAAAATTTTGAGCCATGTCACAACATCAAATCAGATGTACCAAGTACTGCATTTTGGTTGCTAATTTAATTTACAAAATCAATTGAATTAAGAGAAAATTTCCACTTTTTACCAACCAAACAATACAAAAGTTAAGAAATTTAACTCCACTTTTCTTTTTCATTACCAAACAAAGGGTTTAGGGTATCAAATTCATAATGAGGCAGACTGCGCCTGCATTTTGCTTACACAATATACATTCAATTCAAACAAATTGTTCGAATTCTGGTTTGAAGTAAGAGATATACATTACAACTTTGTTGCATAAGAGGCGGTCAGAAGGACTGCTTAGAGATCTCAAGCTACACTTTTTGATTCTCTCTCCAAGAATAAAGGAACAATGAGCAAATTAAAAAATTGACATAAGACATGCTTGATGTTCATCTCCAAAAGAACCTAAATCAATTCTGAGGGATGCAAGATTGCACATCTATCAGACCCTCTCAAACAGCAAATTCCCATCGCCAAAATATTTCCTTCCCAAATCTCCCTGGTCCCAAATAGTTATCTCAAATCAATAATTATCAAATATGTGCAAGCATCTAGAGCATTTCTGCTTTCTAACTCTGTCCTCTCCCTCCTCCTTGTTCAACATCAACAGAACTAGGACTGCAGGGACTTATCCTCCTATCTCTGCTCAAGAGCCTCTTGAGTGACCTCAACCTCGTCGTAGCCGGAGACTTCAAGTCCTCATCGGCGGCGAACCTATTGCCGGAAGGCGAAGGGGAAGGCGAAGGTGATGGCAATGAGGTTTGACTTGGTATATCAATCACCAACATCCCGTCGGGCCTACTAATAGCAGATGAAGATGAAGGTGAAGATGAAGGTGAAGATGAAGAAGATGGGCACATGGGTGGTGATGAAGGGCCTTCTTCTAAACCAGAACCAGGTCCAGAGCTCACCTGGGTCTGGTTCCCCCAAAACAACACATTTGTTGGGAAATTTGGAGCCTCTATTGAAAACCCAGATGCCAAACTCTCAGCTGGTGATAGAATTTGAACACTATCACTCTCTGCCAATGCAGATGAAGAACCAGCAGCACCAGAATCAGCAGAGCTCTCAGGAGCAACAGGGTTACGACAGATCGGACACGTGGAGTGAGACTGAAACCACATGTCAATGCAGTCAACATGGAAGCCATGGCTGCATTTCGGAAGCAGCCTGGCCTTCTCGCCCTGAACAAGCTCAGAGAGACAAACTGCACATTCAAGGCCATCTTTGAAGTCCTCTGAAGGAAACACCAGCACTGGCAGGGACTTGAGGACCAGAGGGTCGAGCCCTTTTCTCACGGTGGCAACTGTGTCCTGGCCCGGGGCGAAAACAAAGCGGCGGCGGCGGCGGCGAGATTGGCGGTTAGCGGAGGTGTCGTCATCTTCGCGCCACCAGTACCATTTGGCGTAGAGATGAAGGCAGAGTACGAAGACAACTACTAAGAAGAGAACCAGAACGGCGATCATCATGATCTTTCCTGTGAGCTGTACGGCGTTTGAGTCGTCTAGTGTTCGACCGAAAGGGGATAATTCTCCCATTGATATTCGTTGTTGTTCACAGCTAAAGCTTGGAGCTTTACCTAAAAAATTCCAACAATGGAATTTGGGTTTTTGAGGAAATGAGCAGAACCCAGATGGGAAATGCGTTTTGCTTTGAAAATTAATTCTCTAGATGAAGCTAAGGGAAATGAGGCTTAAATATGGGTAAGGAGAGAGAGAGAGAGAGAGAGTTGAAGAGGCCAAGTGGTAAAGAAAGTTGGACTTGTTCTTTGAGAAGACTAAAGGAAAAATCTTTGAACTCAAAACTTGAGAAAGAGACGGTGGAGAGTGTTGGTGTTGGTTCAATGGACGGAAGAAGGTAAAGACTAAAAAGAGAGAGAGAGAGAGAGAGAGAGATGTTGTAACTTGTAGCTTGAACCTCCACTTTCAGGACTCGAAGACTTGGACTTTTGTTTCGGTGGAGGAAGTAAAAATTAAAAAGAAGACGACAACCCATATTTGGGTCCAAATATGAGGGCAGAGGGTAGAATGAAAAGACTTCAAACCCCACCTCATGTCCATTTCTCAGTGCTTTCCTCATAGACACCATTGCTGGCTTTTTTGTCACTTTGACACTTGACTTCCCATTTTCAAAGTAATTTTTACTTCCATAAAAAATGTTCACCTCTATTAGGACATATATGAGTGATTGATGACACAATTCATGCTTGTTTTTCAGCAATAGTTAATGTTGCTATAGTCTCGTAGCTCCAGCCGTAGTGTACTTATCTCGACAACCATCACAAATTAATGTTATATGAGTGATGTCATAATTTATACTTGTTTTCAGTGATAATTAATGTTACTATAATCTCATAGCTCTAGCGATATAGTACTCAACTCGACCACCATCACAAATATTCAACTTTCGGTAACTTAAACCTCATTCAAATCAAAATTTACATAATTAACACTCCGTCAAACTAGCATTAATAACTCATATGACCCCTTGCTTAAAGGCTTATTATAGATTTGAATCCGATGAAGCAGATTTTGGGGGTAAGATTGGTCAATGCTACAATAGTGGTTAAGTAAGTTGGTGTTGTGGGGTGTAATTTAACGACCAAACCCTGCATTTTTCAACCAAAATGTCCAACTTTGGTGGACGATGTTCATTTCTTTGTTCAACCCTTTCTAATTGGATGAAGATAAGACCATACAGCTTGGTGGGGGCATACAGAGAAAGTGACTTTTTTTATTGTTTCAGCTCACAGAGAAAGTGATTTGATTCAAAACTAAAACAGGGGGAGGTAAATATTTTTCATATGATTAGATTATTGGGAAAACCACAGTCCACAGGATTATGTTAATATATTATGTTCAAACACTGTTTTAACGCAAATCTCAAAGCAACTTACACAGCCTAAACCCTAATCCGAAAAGCTAGCTGATTATCAACTGCTTTTGATCTTAGAGTCAAATTTTATTTTTATTTTTGACTTTCTTCCTGTATTTTCTCTTCAAAAAGATCCTCAATCTTTTCGTCCTAGGTGGGATTTCATTTTTCAGAAATGTACTAGTGGCAAGAGAGCAACTCACACATTGTTTTCAAGTCAATTTGCAGGATGCAGTTTAGCTTTCCAGGCTGTGGCTTAATATATGATTTCAGGTCTCTCATACATATATATATATATATATATATATTTATGTGCTTTGTTTATAACAATATATAAGTCAATTAATCTTGCACTCGTGCATGTCACAAAGTGATGTGAAATATCCAAGTGGAAGTTTCCTATATTTAATCGAATCATTTACTCATTGTTCCGATCTTTGTTGTGAAGAATTTCTCGGTGTGACCGCTTGACACAAAAATTTCCTCTAATAAACTTGAAATTTTTTTATAAAAAAAAAGCCTTCAAACCCCAAAACAAAATAATTTTATACATAAGCACAATCTCTCGCCACCGAAAATGAAAAATGGAAGCCCTAAACTCTAGCTCGTACCATTTGCCATAATTTTGGGCTTTAATTTTCATTTGGAATACAATAATGGTCATCACTTCCGTGAGAAACTAATTAATATACTTGGACATAATGATTGATTCTGAAATGATTTTTCTTGCTCATTAATTATAGCCATTCATGCCATTAAAGCAGAAACACACAGAGGAATGAGTACCAGATTGATAACTTTGTCTGTTAACAAAGTACCTAAAAGAATACCGAGTGAGGAATATATAGCCATAGCTTCTACTGCCATGCCAGCATATCACCGGGCCGCAAGGCTTTCAAATAAAGCTTGAGGGCCCTACGGATGAAATTTCAAGAGCTATTGCTAGCAAATAAGAAGCAGCCTCAAATACGAAAACACTATTTGGAGAAAATTTTCAGGATCAGGCACGGGAAAATCGTTTTACAAAATAGTGTACAACTTTTTCTTTTTGGCTTTTGTATATTGTAAATCCAGTTATAGTCCTGAGATGTCATTTTGTTTGCCCCATTCAGCAACCAGATCTCATTGTTGACTTATGTGTCTTGTTAGAGAAAAAGAATCAGAGATATGGAACTCAAAAGTTGGTGAATTGAGTTACTAATTGAGTAATGTTGTAGGAACTTTATACATACGAGGAGTGGAAGAATCGGACACATGACTTCAAGTGTAAGAATAAATGCTCTTAACGACTTAAGCTATAAATCTGTTACGAATACTGGCAAATAAGGAGCCACACCCAGCATGGTTAATCTTTTAACTTTCTTTACTGTTGCTTTTGAGGGGAAG